ACCTGTGGCGCAGGAGCAGCGTCCTCATGACATCGTCCCGATCCTGCGGCTTCATCTGCCTCTCGTAGATCAGCTGGTCCAGGACCACTTGGACKATGGCCGGCAGCGAGTTGGCCTCCAGGTTGAAGAGAATGGCACCTGTGGGGACAGCACAGTCGCCATCGGGCTCGTGTGGCATCCCTGCCACCACCCCGGTGGTCGCAGAGGTCCCCAAAGGTGTCCCCACCTTTCTTCAAAGCCCGCTGGACCTCCAGGAGGCTGTGGTAGGTCAGGAAGGAGAGATGGGGCTGGCTCCAGTCCCCYGATTCCTGGAAATCCTCCTCCAGCTTGAGCCAGTGGCCGGCCTCCATCCAGCACAAGTCCTTTGCATTGTCCAGGACCAGCTCGTGAAGCTCCACGTACCCCTGTGGCCGGAGATGGGGGGGTCAGGGTGCCCCTGGACACACTGGGGACCCCCGGACACACTGGGGACCCCCGGACACACTGGGGACCACCGGACACCCAGCGTCCCCCCACAGTGCCCCGGTGTCCCCTGGCCGGGGGTGTGAAGTGGTCCCTGGGTGGCCACAGCTCGCCCAGCCCCGGGAATGGGGAGGGAATGGGATGGGAATGGGGGTCCCTGGGGCAGCACCCACCTCATGGGTGTCCGGCTGGGCCAGGAGCCTCCTGCTCCCCGCGGGCTCCACGTCCACATCGGTCACCGACACAGCTGCAAGTGGAGCCAGCGAGGCGTTAGCCAGTCCCTGCCTGAGCCCGGCCACTCCTGGGGGCTGCTTAGGGTGCCTCCCACCATCACCCCCATCCCAGCCCTCTTTGGGGTCACCTGCAGGTGTCCCYTTTTCCATCACTCCCATCTCAGACCCGTTTGGGGTCACCTGGATGTTCCCTTCTCCATCATCCCTACCCGAGCCCTTTTGGGGACTCACTGGATGTGCCCCTTGTGTTGCCCCACCCCAGACCCAGCCGGAGTTTGCTGGACGTGCCATTCCGTCACCCCCTGCCCTGGCTGTGCCCACCTCTGTCCCCTCAGGTCCCCACAGCCCGGCCCATGGGGCAGGGTGACTGTGGGGACATCACTGAGGACGGTGCTCGCGGCCACCGCCCTGCCACCGGCACACCCCCAGCACCATCACCGGCACGGAGACGAGGGGACAGCACCTCCCCGTCCAGCCAGACCCCCGAGGTGTCCCTGTCCCCATCCCCCTGCCTACCTGCGTCCCCCCCTGCGCTCCCCATGTCCCCGCGGCTCCGTCCCTATAAAGTGGGGAGCGATCTCCGCGGGCGCCCTGTTCGCACCGTAAATCCCGCAGCACTTCCTTTGCTGACAGTAAACACCAGCACGGCTCCCCGCCCGCCCGCTGCCACCCCACCATGGGGACAGGCTCACCCCGTCCCCCTCCGCCCTCCACGGGGACCACCGCGGTCCCCTCGCTGTCCCCAGCCCGGGTCACCCCGCGGGGRGAAACCGCGACAGCCGCGTCGCGCTCTGCCGGGGGAAAGGCGCTGCGCCCATGGGAGCGGGGATGGGGATTGTCCCCTGCCACCGTGTCCCCGACAGTGTCGCCCGTGGCACGTGGGCACGAGCGTGTCCTCGTCCCTGCCCGCCGCCACCGCCACCGAGCCGCCCGGCGCCAGCCAGCGTTCAGCCCCGAGTGGTTCTTGTCCTCACCCCAAACAAAGAGTTTATTTATCCTCAATCAGTGGGCGATTACGGGCAAGTGGCAGCGGTCACCCCGCGGCGTGCCCTGACGCCCGGGTGACCGTCACCCCGCGGAGGGTGGGGGACAGGGGGTGGCAGAGCCGGTGGCGATAGAGGGCTGGGTTTGTAGTGGGGTGGGGGACACCGGGGTTGGGTTTTGTCCCCCGTGGTCACTCACGCTGCCCTTTGCCACGGCTGGGGTGTCCCGGGGGGGCCCCGGCCGAGCGCCTCTTCCCGTCCAGGTCATAAAATCCCCGGCGGCCGGGCAGATATCGGCTGCAAAACACACACCGCGGGCACGGGGGGGTCAGCGCCGGGCACCGCGGGTGATGCCAGCCTCCCCCGGGTGATGCCAGCCGGGCAGGCGGAGCCCCCTCCCCGCTTTGGGGACGGACTCACCGCAGGGGTTTCATCTCCTCGGCCCTGGCCCTCCACGCCTGCAGGGGGGACCCGATGCCAGCGCCGGCCCCTGCGCGGAACAGGGGGCAGAGTTAGCCCGACCTGTGTCACCCCAAACCCCTCCTCAGGGTGGCAGCTCCGAAACGACCGTGCTTGGGGTGTCTATGGGGCGCGCAGAGCCCCAAACTC